TAATATATCAATGAGATACCTGACAAATATTACCGATCCAGGCAAAGTGCTGCCATTGCAAACATATTACATATACAACGTAAGTAACAGCCCATTTTACGAGACAACTTTCATCCTACAAGGTTTTAGTTTGATGATAACCTCATCTGTGTACACCGGCACGGATTCCTTCATGGGTTATCTGGTCTTCCATATTTGTGGTCAACTTGAAAACTTCAGGACACGTATTCTTAATCTGGATAAATTTAGTCACTTTGAAGAAGCACTATCTTCTAGCGTGCAGGATCATATACGTCTTATCAGGTTCAGTACACTGATGAAACAAAAAAAAAGTTTACAAATAAATCAAATAAATTTAACAGAAATTATAAAGTATTTTCTAAAGCATTAAATTCTTCTCTGTTTACTCTACAATCCATCAAGTCTTGTTAAAACAAGAGGAAAATGATTTGTTAATATTATTAGCAAAAGATTTTTTTAGTAATAAGTTATTAATATATATACACACACACACACACACACATATATATATATATATATATATATATATATATATGTATAATAATTTTAATAAACTCAAAATGTAATGATCATAACTGACACAATGCAAATTATATAATTTTTTTAAATTTTAGGTACATAATATTGCATAAGTTTTATTTATATATATCATAAAATATCAAAGTTGCTATTTATTATAATTAGAAAAGAAATTTTATTTTACTTTTTATTTATATTAAAAAATATAAAAAAAAGTGAGTAAAAGAAAATCATAATCATATTATACCGTACTAACTATTGCTTACAGATGTATTAAAATCATCGACAATACATTTAACTTGATGCTGCTTAGTCTGCTGGTTTATTTTGGCATACTTTTTGCTCTGTTTGGATTTTTATTTATCACCGCAAGTATATTTTCTAACTTGTATTTATATACATTTCTTCATTTGTGCAATTCGAATGCCAAAATTTACAATTAGAACTTAATATCCATATTCTTATCTATCTTATTCTTCAAATAATATATCTATTATTTTATTAAAATTATTTAATGTATTATACTTATAAATTAGATTTATTTCAAATTGCACAACACAATGTGTATGTATTCATGTCACTTTAAAGAATTACGAATGTTACTACATATGTAAAAAGCGTAATTATAATGATAATTAATTGTAAATATTTTATTACTTTTCGACAACTTATTTTTAAAATATTTTTTTTCTGAAAAGAAATAGAAACAATACAATCTAATTCTTAATATTTTAAACTTCTCCTATTAAACCTGATTATGTTAACTATTTATTTATATTTATCTCTTTAAATACAACAATTTCTTAAAAATGTTTAATTACATTTAGTCATTTTTACTGCGCAGATAACGACACAAGGTCGCAATCTCTCCATTGCTCGACTCATTTACATCCTGACGGCTTTCATTACGGGGTTCACACATATGTGTCTTTATTGTGTGATAGGCGAATTTTTAGTTATTCAAGTAAGTATTGATATTTTAAAATATTAGATATATTTTTCATGACTTGTCGTTATTATACATAACATGAGTATATTATAATATTCATGTATGTTATTTATTTAAATATTTAATAAATTTAATACTAAATTTCTATCTTAATGTGATTGTTTTTTGGATACTGTTTATCAAGTGTGATGGGATTTACGAGGCTACTTATCACTATAAGTGGTATAATCTAAAGCCGAGGCAGGCCAGAAATCTGTTGATTATAATGATGCTAGCTAATAAACCACTGCACCTTACTGCAGGAAAACTCTTTCCTATGACGATGGCTACATTTTGCAATGTAAAATATATTATAAATTAACTTAATCATTTGCACAGTACAAATTAAATTCTCTCTAATAGCATTTTACAAAGATACATTGTAGAACAAAGTAGATATTAAATATTTTTTTACTAACATTTAAAATTAGAAATTACTAAACATATATTTAAAAAAATTAATTAAATTAATTGGAAATATAAATTAAAATTCTCAATAACAGTATAATTACTGATTGATACGCGAACAGTGAGAAAATTTTATATTATTTGAAGTAATGAAATATCCATCTAATTATTTGTATAATTTTATTATATTTTAGCTGTTAAAAACATCGGGTGGTTACATATCGGTTTTACTGGCACATCGTAATTAAACTGTAGACATTTAATTGTATAAAACAAATCCCCAATAATTTTAAAAATAAAAACAAATTACATAGTATAATTTTAACTAACAAGTTTATTATTATATGTTTATTGTAAAGTACGACGGACTTTACAAAGCCGCACGCGAATATAAATGACGCAACTTGGAGCCAAAAAAGACAAAAAATCTATTAATGATGCAAAGTTTTAATAGATCGCTGCATCTTACTGTGGAAAAACTGTTCCCTGTGACGATATCTGTAGATACGTATTGATAAATTGTATCTTATTGCACGGTTACATCTAACTGTTCATCTAAGGTCAAGCTATATAACTTCGCTAGAGCATCATGAAAGGAGAACTGTTTAAAAGTTATCAATTTTATGAAGAACTTTTATTCCTTTCTCGTAGCTTCAGTGAAATGAGACAATAGATAAATGCGATGCAGCAGAATCGGTTTTAGAAATTTCCAGTCATAAACATTCTAAAATCGTAAAAATTTTCTTATCTTCTTTGAAGTTCTACATAACATTCTACATAAGAAAGCAATAATCTAAATAAACTTGTTAAAACGGTAATTACGAATTTAATAAATTTTTAAAAATCATCTTTTTTTATAATATTTTTATATCTATATTTTTTAAAAGTAGATTTAAGTTTTAATTAGCAAAAATGTATATAATTTAATTGTATTTTCAAGCCTACTGCGTGAACATTCTTAAGTTTGTTATATACTTCATATGCGGCCCTGTGCCTATAGTGTCTGTATTTTCCATTCGCATTCGAGCTGCTTATTTCTTATTATGCAAAGGGTATATTTATGGAGGGTGCGTGAGCTTGTTGAATGGTTGAGTTAAACCCTGCAGTTTTACCATTTCAATAATCTATAAGCACAAATGTATATTGTGATGTCTATGGTTGCGTCGTGTGAAAAACAGACGTCTCTCTGTAGCCGTCAACATGAATGTTTCGGGATATACATATATGGACGTAATTTGTATATTTATATATATCTTTTGAAAAATTTTTTACCGGAAATTTTAAAACGATAAAATAGTTGAAAGTATATTTACAATATAAATTATTTCTTAAATTTGATTTTTGTAATAATTAATTTCCATTTAATTGTATTTTTTGGTAAATAAATCGTTTCATTACTTATTGCAAAGATGTGCGTATCGATTATATAGTTATAGACTGTGTACACGTAAATATGTAAATTATAAAAATTACAATATTTTATTCACTTAACGTTACAAATATCGGTAATAACACACGATTGCTCATGAAGTAAATAAAGATATGATAAGTTCTAGTATCTTAATATCATTCTTAATTCAATATTATTTAATTACGATCTCTGTACTAATGATCTTGTCAGCGATAACAATTGAATGGCACACTAATGCTATTCACAGCTGTGTACATTTGTTGATACGCGCGTAGGTATATAAATTGTACCATACGCATACCATTTGCTTCGAAAAATTTGCCAGGCACAGTGTGAAAGCAGATCTACGAAATGAAGCAGTTAGCGTGTATCCTCATCGCATTGGCGATCGTAGGTAAGTCACACATCGGAAACTTGTGTCGATAACAATTTGTGTGACAATTTAACACAAGTTCTATATAATTAAATTTTGTTTTTAATACTTAATTTATCTTATAAATAATATCTTATAAAAGCATTATACATATTATATTTCAATTTTTAATATTGCGTGTATAAAACTATAAATTGCATATAAAATACATAATTGTGTAATTGCATTACTGTACAATATGCTTCACCATATTTCTATTGTACTTTTTTATCGATTTTATTATTTTTTATCGCATTTTTTTATTATTTCTATTGTACTTATACATTTATTAGCTCTACCCTATTGGTTTTAAATTTTGTATAAAAATAGAAACAAAAATTACACAGCCACACAAAAAAAATTATTTTCTGGCCTGGGAGTCAGGCCATGTTTCGTATATGTTTTTGGGGTCGCTGAAACCGAATCCGAAGTCCATTTTACCCCATCACGTCAGGTTTTTGACATCAGTGTCTCGCCTGTGTCTGCATCCAGGGCACCTCCACGTGGTGACGGCGGGCAACGGAGCAATTCCGTTATCCGGCTGAGTCCCTGGATTACGGCGTCATGGCAGGCACAGGTGGAAAACGTTTAACGAGACAAGGATTCGGATACCCAGAATCGACGGCTGGTCAGGGTGAGATTGCGGGCCCGCAGGCGTCGTCATCATGCGACCGCAGCTCTACATTGGTTGGTGACTTGGCTAATGTAGAGTTGAATACTACTACAAGAAAAAAGGGCGAAGTCGTCTCGCAATCACATAACTGTGATTCAGATTATCACGTCTTTTGTTATATTTGCTCCAAGTTATGTTAAAAACCTGACGTGATGGGGTAAAATGGACTTCGGATTCGGTTTCAGCGACCCCAAAAACATATAATAAACATGGTCTGACCCCCAGGCCAGAAAATAATTTTTTTTGTGTGGCTGTATTATTTTACTTTCTTTTATGTCATAAAACATATAAAATTGAATATAGATATATTAAATATACAATTCGCAAGAATTTCTTTTTTAGATAAGTAACATGATAAACAAATGCAAATAATTCTGATTGATAATGAGGGTAATAACGTTTTGATACGCACTTACAATTAGTTTTACTATACGTTTACAGGTGCTTATGGCGATGAACCAGACAAGTTAGTAAATGGAATACCCGCGAACATAAAAGACTATCCGCATTGTGTCTCCATAAGGGTCGACAACACCCACTTTTGCGGCGGTAGCATAATTGACAAACAGCACATTCTAACTGCCGGGCATTGCGTAGCGCCTCTAATTCAGGACTCCCGTCTAAGGAAATCTGTAACCGTTGTTACTGGCACAACCTACCTCAATGAAGGTGGACAGAGTCATAAGGTGGAAAAACTGTGGTATCACGATGATTATAATCCTCGCGCCAGTAGAGGCAATTACGACATCGGTTTGATAAAGGTACAATCTTAAAATAAAGTAAGCAACCTTGAAATAAAAAAATACATACATGTTATAATATATTAGCTTATAACGCATTTGTGATATGCATGTTTAGTATACTTTCCGATATATTAGTGACAAAAGTAATGATATACAGACGTCAAATAAATGAAGCACGCTTTAATCATTCTCACTGTTTGGTTCATTAGTATAAATTACTTTTAGTTGGCTTCGCCCATTGAGTTTGGTCCAACACAACAGCCAATTAAGCTCCCAACGACGACTATAGAAAAGGATGATGACGTCACGATTGCAGCCTGGGGTTCTAGGGGCTTCAGAAAACCTGTACATAACAACTTGCAGAAGTTGAACGCGAAAGCAATGCTTCCGGATACGTGCCAGGCTTATCACAAATTCTTAATGAACATTCACAAGGACGAGTTCTGTACCCTCATCACTTATGGAACTGGATTGTGCAATGTATGTAGCACAATAACATTTTATATCATAGTTATATCTAGCTGTAATAAGCATTCTCAAAGTAGAATTTTTATATCCCTCATTTTTCTTTTTATCATCTTAATAATTTATAACAATAATAACGCTAAATTATTGGAATTCTGCCATCTTAAATAATGATTTTTTATTCAGCATAACGCGTAAGATATTGTCAAACTCATATAAGGAACAGTACGGTAATGGTTTCCATTTTTCTGTTGCAGGGTGACAGCGGTAGCGGACTGATTCGAAACAGCGACAGAACAATTATCGGTCTGGTGTCTGGTGGAAGACCGTGCGCCAGAGGTTATCCAGATGTATACACCAATGTTTATTCCTATCTTTCTTGGATCGAAGGAAAAATGAACTACTAACATTCTTCTTCATGTATCCTATTCTTAATATTTAATAAAGATTATTGAGCAAATATATCTTTTATTATATATTATTATTAAAGTAAATTATTTGTGTAGCTCTTACTAAATTCTCAATATTATATAAATTTTCAATATTATATGCGCGTGCAAAAAACAGCTGATAAGTACTTGAGTTTCTTTTTTACATGTTTATTTCGACAAAATAATAAATTATTAATTTATTATCAAGTTATTTGGTTAAATCTTTAATATCAATTAAATTTTATTTTAATTAAATAATTAAATATAACCATTTATTAGAAGAAACAGAGTGGGCATCTTTCAGAGTTACTTCACTAGTCAAATATGGGACAAATCGCTGTCCACGGATGTATATCACATGGCTATAAAACGGACACCTGTTTCGTACTTTAAGTTTTGTTTTCGAAGTTGAATGACACTTTAGTGATAAATCAATAATACGGCATAACAAGATCAGTTTAAAAATTTTCAAAACAAACATAATTAATGAATGAAAGAAATCGTATTTTTTCTTCCAAACAAATTGATTTTATATATAAGAAACAAACAAATTTTAAGAAAATAATATAGTTGGACATATGCAATATAAATTATTTCTTAAACATTGATTTTTTTTTAATAATTTAATTTCAATTTAATTATATTTTTTAGCAAATAAATCGTCTTATTACTTTTATTGCAAATATGTGTATTATATAGGTAATTACATTGTGTATACATAAATGTGTAAATCTTTTAGTCCGTTTTTTTTACATATATTTTTCTAATAGATTTTTATAATATTTATCTTGCAAGTATCTTGCAAGTATATCATAAATTATAATTGATACCATTAATATATTATTAATATCTTAACTTGTGTATTTAACACTGATGACTGTTCTTCACTCAAATTCCAAAAATTAAATACTTCTATTCTATTTATCATTCATTTGTTTAGATGGTGACTCAAGGTTGAGATCTGTTAGTGACGACAGTGTCTCGTTTAACTTTCATTATGACGGTATCTGATGTCAATACATTTGTATACACATGTCTTTATTACGCTGTAAGACAAATTTTGATCGCACAAGTACGTTATTTCCTTGGTTAACTTACACATAAAATATAAATTATATAGTGCTAATGAAGATACTTGGTCTATTTAATAGATGATACGATGATAAGATACTATACATCTATTTAATAGATGTATAGTCTAATACTCTAATATAATTTTGTATATGACTACTTTGGTCAGGTGTTACGTAACATTTTGTACAATAAATAAAAATATTTAAAGTAAAAATGTGAAATAAAATGAATAAAAAATATTCTTTTACACAAATAAAATGCATAAATTAATAGCTAAAACGTGAAAAATATTATTAATTTTTAGATTATAATTCCAGGAATTGAAATTATTTAATCGCTAAACTGTGCATTGTATAAATTAATAATATATGTATATATAAAGCACATCAAACGTAGTTAATTAATTAAGTCATTAATTAAGTTAATTTTTCATACATTTTTTATAATATATTATATTTTTAGTTGTTAAGGACATGGTGATTATATATCGGTTTTGCTGGACATGGAGAAAAACAGAAATCTATAAAAATCAGATAAAAATTTAATTTTACTCATATCAAAAAGTAATTTATTTATATTTATATAATCCAGATTTAAATCTAAATATGATAAAGTTTATTATTATATGATACATGCATGTCTTATTTACTTGTAAAAAACTTGTCAAATACATGATGTACAATGTGGTTGCATTATTGTGATTTAAACCATACATTTCTTTCAATGCTATAGAGAGATTTCATCAAAGTAAAACCAATAATATTTTATTACTGTTAAAATATGTTATTATTAGATGTATGATAACTTGGATTATTTTTATAAAAATATGTAACATTTTATTCGCTTAACTTACAAATATCAGTCATAATGCACGATTGCTCATGAATTGAATAAAGATATGAACATTTTAATATCGTTCTTAATTCAATACCGCATAACTTCGATTTCCACGATAATCTCGTTATAATGCAATAAAAATGGAATAATTAATATTATTCACAGCTGTGTACATATTTCGATACGTATATAAATTGTGCCATACGCATTGGCCAATACTGTGTTTCCCAAAGTTTGCGAGACACGGTGTAAAAGCAGACCTACGCAATGAAACAAATATCGTGTATCCTGATCGCATTGGCGACCATCGTGGGTAAGTAAAATATCAAAAACTTGATAACGTATTTTATGGCAATTTAATAAGCTCTATATAATTAAATTTGATTTTTTAATATTATAATTAATTTACCTTGTAAAAGCATTATACATTATATTTCATTTTCATATATAAAAACTATATAAATTATATAATTGCATAATTGCAAACTGTACAACATGCTTAATTGTCACCATATTCTCATTGCATTTATCATATTGTGTTATATATATTAAAATACTTTTGAAAAAAATTATTAATACATTGTGTGTGTATGAGATGAGGTGTTTGAAACTACTTTATTATACATTTGCAGCCGTTTATGGCGATGAACCAGAGCAGTTAGTGAATGGAATACCAGCGAACATAGAAGACTATCCGCATTCCGTCTCCATAAGGGTCAACAACAACCACATTTGCGGCGGTAGCATAATTGATAAACAATACATTCTAACTGCCGCGCATTGCGTGGTGCCTCTAATTCGCGATTCCAAAAAAATGCAATCTACGACCGTTGTTGCTGGCTCGGCCTACCTTAATTCAGGTGGAAAGGCTTATAAAGTGCAAAGACTCTGGATCCATGAAAATTATAATCCCAACAGCCCTTCGGGTAGAGCCCCTTATGACATCGGTTTGATAAAGGTACAATTTTACAATATACTATTATATTATAATAAAAATAATACGTACTTTTTTAATCACACTTCTACAGTCCAGTTTATTAATATAAAATATTTTTAGCTGACTTCACCCATTCAATTTGGACCAAAAGTACGGCAAATTGGGCTTCCAAGAAGGAATATAGCAGAGAATGACGGCGTTACGATTGCAGCATGGGGTGCTATGGGCCTCGGAAAACCCATACATAAAAACTTGCAGAAATTGTACGCAAACGCCATGCTTCCGCAAGAATGCCAGCAATATCATGGAAACTCTATGCTCATTCATAACAACGAGTTCTGTACCCTCATCAGCTACGGAACTGGATTGTGCACTGTACGTAACATTACATTACATTTAACAGAATGCTCGAACGCATATCTGATTTTATTGTTGCGCGTTTTTTATATTTAATATTTTCCGTCTGTAAACATAATACATTTTGCAATAACTCTTGTTCAATCACGACGCTATATATACCGAACATTATTCGCATTACAATATTACATTCCTCGTATCTTGTATAGGATAATATTTGACATCACAATTAATTCATATTTAAAATAACATTAATTCTCAAAGTAGGATTCTTATATAATTATTTCTTTCTTTATCATCTTAACTGTTTATAGAAATGATAACGCTAAATTACCGGAATTCTGCGGTCTTAAATAAATTGCCAATTTTGGATTTAACGTAACATGAAAGATATTATCAATCTCATTCATATAAGGGATACTAATCTTCATTTACAACAATAAATAATCTCCATTTTTTTGTTATAGGGTGACAGCGGTAGCGGACTGCTTCGAAATAGCGACAGAACCATTGTCGGTCTGGTGTCTGGTGTAAGACCGTGCGCCATTGGTTATCCCGATGTATACACTAATGTCTATACCTTCGTTCCTTGGATCCAACAAAAAATGAGGCTCTAGTAACATCTTTCTTTATGTATTACGTATTCTTAATATTTAATAAAGATCATTGAGCAAATTTCGACCATCATTAGTCATCATTTACATAAATCAATCATTTACATAAATCTAAATGTATAGTAGAAATCTTTTATTATATGTTATTATTAATGTACATATTGGTTTAGCTTACTAATGTGCGCGTGCAAAAAAATAGCTGAAAAATTATTTGAGTTCTTTTCTCATGCTTAATTTGACAGAATAATAAGTTATTAATTTATCAAGTTATTTAATTAATTGTTTAGTATCAACTAAATTATGTTAATTAATAAAAAAATTATTGAATTTAATATGCAAATTAATATAAAAGTTATTACGTAATACCAAAAGAAATCAAAAGTAATATGTTTGTTAATGATATCTAGAAATATTTGACGTATAAATTATTTAATTTTTTAATATCTTTTTGAAGATATCATAGATTTATATAATCTCGACCATACCCCATTATGCCCCGTGGTCCCGTTATGCCCCGGGTTTCACTATTTATTTTTCAAATATTTTAATATCGTTGAAAGTACATTCACTTTATTACAACTCGGTTTACTACATTACTATTATTTGGTACATTAGTTTTTCTATAAGCATTTTTATTAGTCGCGGTAAGTTACAAAAAGAAAATCAGCTGCTTGTCTTAAATATACATAATAATGAATTAGCATGTAAAGATGTGAGTCTAACGTCAAAATTCTTTAAAGTTGCAAATACAAAAATCTCGGCTGTTTTATTCTTCTAAAACTTATATTAATTATTAAAAATATAAATAACGTTTACCACATTTTGCATCTAGAATATTTAATCCTAAATAGTACATTAATATATCTTTAACGCCAAACGAAAAACGATGCGACAAAAGAATTTATTTCTTTTTTGATTTCTTCTTTTGTGTTATTTATTGCACTACTCTGAATGTATAAAACATTTGTTATTCTCGTAAATAACGATGTACAAAGATGTTAAAATGTTTCCACTATTATGTCGTACTACATCAATCGAATCGAATACATTGTTGCCTCTTTTCCGCTTATTGATTCTCTCGCTTGACTCGCTTCGTGCTGCGAAAGTCAAACGCACGCATTAAGTATATTATTCACTAATTCCGTTAATGTGTTTCGACACAGTGCATCAAGATTCATAAGTGTTTTAGTCTT